CTGGGATTACAAGTGCAAACCACCACACCCAGCTAATTTTTGTATTTTTAGTAGACACTGGGTTTCACTGTGTTGGCCAGGCTGGTCTTGAACTCCTGACCTTATGATCTGCCCACCTCAGCCTCCCAAAGTGCTAGGATTACAAGCGAGAGCCACTGCGCCTGGCCCACCTTTTTTTTTGTTGAGATCGAGTCTGGATCCGTCACGCAGTCTGGAGTGCAGTGGTGAGATCTTGGCTCACTGCAACCTGTGCCTCTCGGGTCAAATGATTCTCCTGCCTCAGCCTCCCGAGGAGCTGAAACCACAAGCGTGCACCACCGCACCCAAGGATTTTCACTTTTTTTTTTTTTTTGAGATGGTGTTTCACTCTTGTCTCCCAGGCTAGAGTGCAATAGGGTGATCTTGGCTCACTGCAACCTTCGCCTCTCAGGTTCAAGCAATTCTCCTGCCTCAGCCTCCCAAGTAGCTGAGATTACAGGCACCTGCCACCTTGTGCCCAGCTAATTTTTGTATTTTCAGTAGACACTGAGTTTCGCCATGTTGGCCAGGCTGGTCTCAAATCCCTGACCTCAGGTGATCCACCCACCTCAGCTTCCCAAAGTGCTGGGATTACAGGCGTGAGCCACCTCGCCCGGCCAGGATTTTCACTTTTAACTGTACAGGGAAGCACAGACTTCTGAGCCAGGCTGCTTGGTCTGAACTCTGGTGTCACCACTTAAGCAAGTTCTAGTTTGAACATACTCACTGAGTGGTCTTCATAAATTAGCTCCCTGCACTTGAGTCTCCTGTCTGTAAAATGGGGATTATCATTACAATGAAGCCTCACAGGATACTGGTGGAACCAAATTCGTTAATATATATGCGAAGCATTTAGAACAGCTGGCATATAGTAAGTGCCATATGTGTATATATATATATACGGCTGTTACGTATTATTAAATGTTTTAAATTATAGAATAGATTAATTTTTGGATTTTATAAAAAGATTCTTCCCCCCTTAAAACTGTTGTGAAAAAGAAAGGGAGGCCAGGCGTGGTGGGTGGCTCACACCTATAAACCCAGCACTTTGGGAGGCCGAGGCAGGCGGATCACCTGAGGTTGGGAGCTCGAGAACAGCCTGACCAACATGGAGAAACCCCTTCTCTACTAAAAATACAAAATTAGCCGCATGTGTTGGTGCATGCCTGTAATCCCAGCCACTTGGGAGGCTGAGGCAGGAGAATCGCTTCAACCTAAGAGGCAGAGGTTGCAGTGAGCAGCGATTGTGCCATTGCACTCCAGCCTGGACAACAAGAAAGAAAACTCTGTCTCAAAACAAAAACAAAAACAAAACAAAAATTAGCCAGGGGTGGTGGCAGGCACCTGTAGTCCCAGCTACTCGGGAGGCTGAGGCAGGAGAATTGCTTCAGCCTGGGAGCTGGAGGTTGTAGTGAGCCAAGACTGCATCACTGCACTCCAGCCTGGGCGACAGAGCAAGACTACATCTTGGGGGAAGGGGGAGCAGAGAAAAAGCAAGGGAAAAAAATTTTTTTTCTTTTTTTTGAGACGGAGTTTTGCTCTTGTTACCCAGGCTGGAGTGCAATGGCACAATCTCGGCTCACCGCAACCTCTGCCTCCTGGGTTCAGGCAATTCTCCTGTCTCAGCCTCCTGAGTAGCTGGGATTACAGGCACGCGCCACCATGCCCAGCTAATGTCTTGTATTTTTAGTAGAGACGGGGTTTCACCAAGTTGTCCAGGATGGTCTCGATCTCTTGACCTCGTGATCCACCCACCTCGGCCTCCCAAAGTGCTGAGATTACAAGCTTGAGCCACCGCGCCCGGCCGGGAAAAAATTTTTTAAAAAGAAAATAAAAAGGCTGGGCGTGGTGGCTCACACCTGCAATCCCAGCACTTTGGGAGGCCAAGGTGGGAGAACTGCTTGAGGTCAGGGGTTTAAGACCAGCCTGGCCGGGCGCGGTGGCTCAAGCCTGTAATCCCAGCACTTTGGGAGGCCGAGGCGGGTGGATCACGAGGTCAAGAGATCGAGACCATCCTGGTCAACATGGTGAAACCCCGTCTCTACTAAAAATACAAAAAATTAGCTGGGCATGGTGGCACATGCCTGTAATCCTAGCTACTCAGGAAGTTGAGGCAGGAGAATTGCCTGAACCCAGGAGACGGAGGTTGCGGTGAGCCGAGATTGTGCCATTGCACTCCAGCCTGGGTAACAAGAGCGAAACTCCGTCTCAAAAAAAAAAAAAAAAAAAAAAAAAAGACCAGCCTGGGGAACATGGCAAGACACTATGTCTAAAAAGCAGAAATAAAAGAAAAATACAAAAATGGGGGAAAAAAATAAAGGGCATAGAGCCTAGGCCAGCCTACTTCTGCCACTTCCCATGTGAGCTTGGACCAGTCTCTTACTCTGTGTCTAGGAACCTGTCTTCACATCTATGAATCAAGTGAGCATCTTTTTCTACCTCAAGGATTGTTCTGAAGAATAAACACCTCAGGGAAGTGTTTAATAAATGATGGCGAAACCCACGTATCTGAGAGCCACATTGCCTTGATGCATTCTGGGATCAGATGTGGCACTGGGGTGGTGGTAGGGCCCCGACCTCTGAAAAGAACAGATCAAAACAGGGTGTGCCCTAAACCTGCACCATACACGGTGCAGGGTGTCTGCTGCCCTTGCCTAAGGGTACAGAGAACCTTCCATCCCAGAGGCCCTGGTCCACCTCCTGAGTTCGGTTTCCAAGATACACCATGGCCAGGCTTACCCCTTACTAAACAGCAGACCCTAGGCTGAAACCCTGCCCCTCGCTGAGCGCCCATTCCCTTGCTGCTCCTCCCTTTCTATCTCCCAGAGCCCCTGTTCTCACCAAGCCTCCCTCCCATCACTTCCCTCTCCCTATGCCCCTCTCTTCACAGTGAACACCCATCTTCCCTTCAAGTTAAGGGGCCCCTTCACTGGGCCGTAATCACCTTGTCAGACTCCCATTTCCTTCCTGGGTCTCCTTTCCCTGCCCCAGTTCCAGAGCCCTGGGGCCCACAACCCTTCACTGTCCTTCCTCCTCCTTTCAAGACCCATCTCTTACTGAGCCCCAGTGCCTTCCACTAAGCAATCCCCCACTGTCCCCTCCCTTCCCTGAAACCTCTTCTGGGCCACCAACCCTCTGAGCCCTCAGCTGGACTCACCAAGCCCCACTCTGATTCCCTTCAAGCCAACTGGGCCCAGCCTGCCCTACCTGGGCAGCCTTCCCGAGTCTCTTCTGCTTCCTCAGCAGCCACTGAACACAGGCATTTTCTCCCTGCAGGCGATTCCTGGGGCTGAACACAGGCTTCTCTTGGGTTGGCCTACCCCAGCCTCGCCCACTGCTTTTTCTGAAGCCACTTACCCACTGCCACCAGCCTCCACCCTACACAGAGTGACCTTGCCAAAGCCCCCTCCCTAAACACAGTGTGTGCCCAACAGACCTGACTGCGTGCGGCTCCTACCTGCTCCCATCTCTGGGCCTTTGCACAGCCTCTCCCTCCTCCAGGAACTCCCTCACTTTTCTGCCTAGCTTCTTAGGCTTGGCTCTGTGAAACTTTCTCCTCAGGGAAGCCCTCCTCCCTAACCCTTAGGGGGCCTCACTGCTTCTTGCCCCCACTTCCAGCTCTATACTGCATGGATGGCTTGAGTGTAGCGGTGTCTTCCCCGTCAGCAGTCAGGAAGTGCAGGGTAATGTCTTCATCTTTGAGTCTGGGGGATGCCAGGAGGGAGGTTGGTGGGTGGATGAGCCTTTTACATCCAGCACAGAGGCTACAGTTTCAGAGGACTGTGACCTGAGTCCTCCTGCCCCTTCTTCCAGACAGGTGTGTCCAGAAGGTGGGGGTGTATATCCCCCTCAGACCACGGGCTCCTCTGACTCTCGCTGGCTGGGTCAGGGAGGGCCTGTGGTCAGATAGGCCCTGTGGCACTATCCCTTGGTGTCTCCCTGAGCTTCACTAAGGAGGGACACGAAGCCACACTCAGCAGAATTTAAACATAAAATGAGTCTATAGGAAAAACTGCTTCCCAAAGACCAGGGAGGCCAAAGTGGGCATTATTTGGGCAAGGGCAGCCAAGAGGCCCCCCAAAGTCAGGAATCAGGAAACAGCTTAGCTCTTCCAGGCCCATCAGACACAGGCACAGAGTTAGGAGTTTTCTTTTTCCAAAGTTTACCAAAGCTGGGAGGAAACAAAGACCCAGCATTTGGAGTTCAGAGTAGACAGAAAGGGGAGGGTGGACCAACACTGGGGTGACCATCCTGGACATATCCCAGGTTCTGCATAAGCAGATGTGGGTGCACGGGGGTAAAATGAGGGGCGTGGAGGCAGAGAAGACTCATGACCTGGGGCAAATGGGAGATACACAGACGGGGCACTGCATTCCTAGTGGGAAAGGGAGGCTCCACGAAGGTTCTCAGACTTAGGACAGAATGAAAGTCGTCAAGAGAGGTGTCCTTGAACCAGAGTAGAACTGTGAGGCCCAAAGGCCAGGAAGACACAGGACAAACAAAGGGACTAGAGGCAGAGACATGGGACCTTGGATGGAATAAGGGAGTCCAGAAGCTGGAGCCCCAAGCTCTGGCCCATGATGGAGGTTCCCAGGGAGAGGAAACCCAGGATTTGGGGAGACCTTGGACTTGCGATAGAATATGGGGTCTCAGAGTCAGAGGAGACCCAGGACCTAGCACAAAATGAAGGTCCAAGAGGCAGACTCCCTGGACCTGGGACCCAACGCATGATTAAGGGCCAGGATGTCCTTGGCAGCAGAGTGGGGAGCTCAGAGGCAGGGGAGACCCAGGGCCTGGGGTGAAATGGGGGAAACCCAGATGCAAGGGTGACCCAGAACTCAGGCAGAAGGGAGAACTCTGTGGCCAGGAACACATGCAGGTATTTCAACTCCTCTGGAGAACCAGTAGCTGGTGACAAAACCCAGCAGTGTCCCTTCCACTCCCTCCGCCCTCACTCCCCCTTTCACAAGACACGAGGTTGGTTTTTTTTTTTTTTTTTTTTTTTTTTGCTTTTTTTCATTTCTTTTTAATACAAACTTGGATCTTTGGGTGTGTCCTGCCAACAGAAAACAACAACAACAACAACAGAAGAGAAAACCCAAAAGAGTGAAAAATAAGAAAGAAAAAAAAAAAAGCTCCCGCAAGAGGTTCTTCTCCCTCCCCCCCACCATGCGAATTTGCACACCACGGGACCACAGCAGGTTTACAGAATGCAATATACAATCCACGATTTATAATAAAACAGTATATACAATAAATAGGATATTGTTCATTTTTGTCAAACGACCTGTAGATAAATTTCTCAGTGCATACTTGCAGGGGCTCTGGACACCTTGGGGCCCCGCTCGCAACCTCTTGCACACGCTCGCTCTCTCGCTCTCTCTTTTTTTTTTTTGTCTTTTTCTAAAACTGTGTTTTGTTTTTAAGTTTTGTACATTTTTAAAAAGTATTTACAATTGCTGGTTTTGTGCAGAAAGGGCTCACCTTCGGCTTCTGCGTGGAGGAGATGGGTGGGAGGGGGTGGAGGGAGATGGGTCTGCAGGGGGTGCAGGGGGGCAGGGTGGGAGGCAGAGGGGCAGGCGATCCTGCCAGAGGACGATGTGGACGCTGGGAGGGATCTTGGCGTTGGTTTTCTGAAAGCTGCAAAGAAACACAAGAGAAGAGGCAGGAGTGAGCAGCAGGTACATGCTGTGCTCTAAGATCAGGGAAGTAAAGAGGGAGACCCCCACACCCTGCTCCTCCCAGGACTGGGGGCAGCGGGAAGCTAACCACATTGTTCTTTCTCCTGAAAACTCAGACTTGCCTTCTCTGAGCCCAGTTTCCTCATCTGTAAAATATGCATATCCAAGCCCCAAACCAAGGGATAAAGCAGGTGCTGGGTGAGGAGTTGGGGTTCCAGGCAGTGGAATTTGTTAAGAGCTTGGGCTCTAGGCTGGGCGCAATGGCTCATACCTGTAATCCCAGTAGTTTGGGAGGCCAAGGCAGGTGGATATCACCTGAGGTTGGGAGTTCGAAATCTGCCTGACCAACATGGAGAAGCCCCATCTCTACTAAAAATATGAAATTGGCCAGTGTGGTGGCGCACGCCTGTAATCTCAGCTACTCGGGAGGCTGAGGTAGGAGAATCACTTGAACCTGGTAGGCGTAGGTTGCAGTGAGCTGAGATTGCACCATTGCACTCCAGCCTGGGCAACAAAAGTGAAACTCCATCTCAAAAAAAAAAAAAAGGGCTTGGGCTCTGGAATCAGACACTGCTGCGTTCAAATACCAGCGCTACCCTTTAATAGCTCTATGACCTTGGGCATGTTGAACTTTTGTGAGCCTCAGTTTGCCCATCTGTAAAAAGAAGATAACTAAACTACCCCATTGGTTTGTTGGGGAGATTCAGTGGTATAAGGCAGATGAAGCCTGGTCCTTAAGTGCGTAATAAATTATACTGTTTACTATTCATTCTTATTTTTCTGGGACAGTTGGGCTCTCCAAACCTGCCCCCCCATGTCATGATGAGTTTAGAAATTCCTCCAACTTAGGGTGTTCTGAGGAATGACATAATGAGGAGGACAGGGCCTCAGCACACAGCACAGGTATGAACCACTGCTTTTTTTTTTAGATGGAGTTTTGCTCTTGTTGCCGGGGCTGGAGTACAATGGCGTGATCTCAGACTCACAGTAACCTCTACCTTCTGGGTTCAAGCAATTCTCCTGCCTCAGCTTCTCAAGTAGCTGGGATTACAGGCATATACCACCACACCTGGCTAATTTTGTATATTTCATAGAGACAGGGTTTCACCATGTTGATCAGGCTGAATGGTCTTGAACTCCTGACCTTAGGTGATCCACCCATCTTGGCCTCCCCAAGTCCTGGGATTACAGGTGTGAGCCATTGCGCCTGGCCGAACCACTGCTTTTAATTATTCTAAATCCAATCCTCTTCTTATCCCTTGCCATTGCCATTCTGTCCCTTAGAGAGGTGAGGTGAGGAGGAAGTCTTTCTCAGGGAAGGATGAGAGAAGCTGCCCAACGCAATGCCATCTGTATTTGGCTTAACCCTGCCTTCCTGAAGCTCAGACTCCCAAGTTCCCAGTTTCTACCATCGCCAGACACCCGAGATTGGAAGGACCCCTTTTTCCCAGTTCTCATTATGCTTGCGGGGCCCTGGGGATCTGACTTCCCTACGCAGACCCCCAGCATGGCTAGATCCCCTGGATTCACAGCTCTGCTAGGGTGAGTGAAAAGGTCCCCCGAAGGACAGGGCTGGGCTGGGGCATTCCTGAAAGCTCCAGCCATTATCCTGTCCTCCTCTCAGAGCCCCAGGACACACATCTCCCACCCTCAGTGTGTGACCATCTCCATCCGAATCAAGGGGCGAGGTAAGGGTGCTGAAACCGCCTCCTCAAGTTCCTCAGGAGCCCATTCGTCCTCCCCAACACCAACAGGAACCAGGCGGTGACAAAAAGCCTCTCCTCCCTTGTACTTTCTTGGCTTCCCTTTCTACCAAAGCCACATTTAAATTCTGCTCAGCCTCGGCTGCTGTCTGCTGGGCAGTCAGCCCCAGGGACGACTTTTGTCCTGAGGCTGGACTTGCCAGGACTCTCCCAAGGTCCAGGGGAACCAGGTGGGCTCCTGCAGAAGCAGGGCAGCACCCCATCCTGGTGGATCAGACCAGGTGGAGGGCAGAGAGGCTCGAGAGAGAGAGAGAGAGAGAGAGAGAGAGAGAGAGAGAGAGAGAGAGAGAGAAGAGCTGCATCTTTGTTAGGCTGTCAGGTCTCCTGCAGTGGCAGGATGGAATAGCAGCAGGGGGAGCGGTGTGCCTGGGAGGGCGATAGCTGTGTTGCAATGGGGTGATAGGTAGAAAAGCAGCTCTTGGGGCAGGGGCTGCTGTTGGGATGAATGCAAGCTCTCCACAGTCAGGCGGTAAATAGGCTGCAGAGACAAGAGCGGTGTCCATTAGGGAGCAGAACAATTTTATCTGGGGTAACTGCTTGAGCCAGAGGGCTGGGGGCATCTATCCAGAGGACAAGTCTATTGCGGTTAAAGAACAGTTGCCAAGCTAAAGAACCTCTGTTGGGGTGACAAGGGAAGGCGACTTTAGGATGGGCTGCTCCAAATCACTGGCAAACTGATATTGTCCAACGCCAGCCTCCTCTGCTCCCTCCAAGGGCCCCGGGGCAGGCTGGGAACCTCTGCACAAATCCCTGCACCCCCACCCCCAACCCCGGCCCTTAGCCACTGCCAGTGACCCTCTCTAAGCCAGGTCTCCATGGTGATCTCAGCCCAGCAGGCAGCTCCTGCCAGAACCATTCCCGTGGTGCCTGCGGCCAGGCAGCAGGAGGCTTTCTCACCCTCTGCTAAGCCGCCCATCTCGTCTCACCTTCCTCCTCCCACCACCCTCCCCAGCTTTCAGGACTTGGCCAGCCAGAGACTTTGGCAGAATCTGCGGGATGGGAGGGAGTGGGGGAGGGGTATGAATCCCAAAGCCCCAGGGTTCTTGTGGAGGTTGGGGGAGAATGCTGTGCCTGTGTGGAACCCTGACCTCACCAGGTTCAGCTCTTCACAAAGCAGGACCAGACACTAATGTGCCAGGCAGCCCAGTGCTGGGCACCGGGGACAAAGCAGAGACCAAGACTGATCTGGTCCCTGTCCTTGAGAGCCTCACAGATAGAGAGGAAGGCAAAGCAGACCCCAAACCAGGCAATTCTGATGCAGGGAGATGGGGGCTGTGCCACGGGAAGTCCTGGGGAGGCAACTAACGTGGTCATGGCAGGAGAGACTGTGGCTCTTCAACCACTGCTGAACACGGTGCGCAGCACGTGCTGGGACCAAGGCGTGCGCCAACTGAATGACAGAGCAAGGACTGACCTGAGTCTAATCAGCATGTCAGGGTCCAGCTCGGGCTTGCACACCTTCAGAACCCCTCCTTAGACCTCCCTGTTACCATAGCTATGTTAACCTGGTCATCCCTACCTGGCTTCTCCAAGGCAGGAACCTGTACATGGTGCTGCTGCACACCCAGCGCTAGCACACACCGGCCCCCAGCACAGCGACCACTGTTCCGAAGACTTCAACTTTCAGTGCCTCTGTGACACACAACTGCAGAGCCACATTCCTCTGAGTCCTCACGCTCCAGTGGTTTCACCATCTGAGGTGCCAGGGCATTAAGTGGTCTCTGCCTGTCAGGGGGGATTGGCACTGGCAGCACTGAGGGACAGCTGAGCAGAGCTTCAAAGTGCTGCAGAGCACATATAAACCAGGTGGTCTAGAGGGGGCTGCTGTCCCCCAAAAAGGAACATATATTTGTGCTTTTGTTTAAGTAACCAGCAAACATGTATTCACACTCACTGGCTGCCAGGGCATGAGTTAAGGCCTAACCTCTACTCTCTAGTCTCTGCCCTCTCGAAAGGGTCCAACGTCAAACAAGGCAGTAGAGTAGAAGGCAAAGAGTGCATGAGGCTGGGTGTGGTGGCTCACGCCTGTGATCCCAGTGCTCTGGGAGGGTGAGGTGGGTGGATCTCTTGAGGTCAGGAGTTCGAGACCAGCCTGGCCAACATGGTGAAATCCCATCTCTACTCAAAGTATAAAAATTAGCTAGGTGTAGTGGCACATGGCTGTAATCCCAGCTACTTGGGAGGCTGAGGGATTAGAATTGCTTGAACGCAGGAAGCGGAGGTTGCAGTGAGCTGAGATCATGCCACTGCACTCCAGCCTGGGCGACAGAGCAAGACTGCCTCAAAAAAAAAAAAAGTATATGAGAATTTGAGAGACTGACTTCCTGTGTGACCTAGAGCAAGTCCCTTCCCTCTCTGGTCTTCAGTGTTTTTTTTTGTTTGTTTTTGTTTTTTTTTTTGAGACAGGGTCTCAACTCTATCACCCAGGCTAGAGTGCAGCAGCACAATCACGGCTCACTGCAACATCCACCTCCCAGGCCCAAACAATCCTTCCACCTCAGCCTCCTGAGTAGCTGGGACTACAGGTGTGTACTACCACACTTGGCTAATTATTTTATTTTTTTGTAGAGAAAAGGTTTCACCATGTTGCCCAGGCTAGATTTGAACTCCGGAACTCAAGTGATCCACCTGCCTTGGCCTCCCAAAGTGCGGGGATTACAGTTCTAAGTGACTGTGGTGGCCTGAGTTTCTATTCTATAAAATAAGGGAGTTGAACAGGTGATGGGAGGATCTTCAGACACTGGGATGGTGCCCCAAAGACAAAGGGTCAGAGGCAAACCACAGAGGCCTACGCCTGATCCATCCCTGTAACATTTTCAGGCAGCCGGGCCTGTGAGTCACCTCCACGTGGAGAGTATACTGCTTCCTGGGGGCTCAGCCCACAGCTGGTATGCAGAAGAACCGTTAGATAGGTGGACCTGGAATTCACTGAATTATCGAGGCTCCCAATTATTCAGGCTCTCAATCAGGAGTCTCTCTCTACTCCAGAGAAGTTTTAAGTTGTTGCTGTTGTTTTTTTTTTTTGGAGCCAGTGTCTCACTCTGTCACCCAGGCTGCAGTACAGTGTCATGATTATGGCTCACTGCAGCCTCAAACTCCTGGGCTCAAGCGATTCTCCCACCTCAGCCTCCTGAGTAGCTGGAACTACATGTGCCTGCTACCACATCTGGGTAATTTATATTTTTGTAGAGATGGA